GCACAGGTAGGTCATGCGATGTCTATCAAGCTGACGGCCAGGATTTTCACATAAGGGAGTGTAAACCCCAGAGGAACACCCCGGGTAAGAAATACAGCACTACTTTGGGCTGACCTTTCAGAAAATCAAACTTCATGAGACTTGATACTACCCAGTTTTCAGCAGTAGGAGCTGAAATTCCTGATCCATGACCTTTGCATAGTGTCCTAAATCTCTCAGCACTGGGGACACGGCTCATCAGGACAGCAGCAGTGCTGCCACTGCTGGCACACGCTGCCCTGATGTGCCTCGGAGCAGGGAACATCCCTCCAGTAACCACAAAAACTATTGAGTTGTCAGGTCACCAGAATTTTTAACTCCTCCTGGTGCATCTGTTGGCTAATCCCATCCGTTTGGGATTAAAGCTGACATTTTCAAGGAGTGACCTTGCCAGCAGTATTCCCACTAGCAGTGTTGCGTTGACCTGACGGGGAGGAACCGGGCGACACCCTCGCATCAGCAGGTGCCTGGGAACCCCAGTCCTCTTTGATTTGTCCACCCACAACTAAACCACGTACAACAAAACACTGCGCTGTGGAGAATTGGAGGTCTATGAGCATCCCTGCCGTGCCCTTCATAAATTTAGAGATAATTAAAGCTTTTTAAGGTGACTGTAAGGTCGAAGCTAACCGCTCTGTGATTTAAAGCCAGGATCTATTTGTCTGTTGTGTCTTTCTTCCATGTTCCTGCTGTTGCAGAGCACAGCAGAATTTGAACAGTGTAGGTGCTCTTCATAAATTCCTGCTTTCCATAAATTGCCCGTCGGATCAAAAGCAGAACCTCTGTGCGCGAGCACAGAAATCTCCAGCCTTTGATTTGGAACAGATGAGGCACCCTATGTTCCTCTAAGATTAAAAAAAAAAAAACAAACAACCCGACAAACAACCCGTTGGCACAGCACACAAAAAAGAGAGGCAAAGGAACTACATGAAATAATTCAAAACAAAGGAGGTGGAAATTCAAAGACAGTATGAGGAACTCAGATGACAGACGGAGAAGCGAATGAACTGCAATTAAGAGGACAATTTCATGTCCAAAGAGGATGCTCCAAACACCAGCCAGAGAACAGAGACCCTCTGGACTAGCAATAAGCTGCATTCAATATAATCCAGTCTTCTGATGGGAAGACAAATTGAAGCAAATTATCAATTATATTTCTGTAATGTAGTTAGAGATAGTCACCTTATCCATAATTTCATAAGTGCATTTCCAAATTACAGGAAGGAAAAGAAGAGTGAACCAAATCCAGGAAAAAAGAATTAGCTCAGTTTGGAAACTGCAGGTCACTCATTTCTTAAGCTTATTGAATGGGCCATTCAATAATGGAAAACGATGATGCCACTAAAATAAAGTAGTACACTAATCACAAAAGCCAGTAATGAAAATAAAAAGCTACGTTCTGGTTTTTCTAGACATCAGAGAAAAGGTTTGGTGTAGAAAGGACTAAAATTCAGAAAAGTCTGGGATTTTTATTTTTAAGCTTGTCACATCTAATGATCTTGAGCTAACCCAAGATTACACTGCAGGGAGGATAGGTAAATTAGTCAAGGGGCGACCTGTGTACCCACTACAGTTGACCCAAAGTGTTCACACAAGCTCTGCTCTGCCATGCTGGGCCAGGGCAGAGGCCCCTCCAGCCTCCCGCTCAGGTCCTGAGAGATGCCCACAGCAGAAAGCGTAGAAGACCGGGCGAGCTAATAGTGTGTCTCCATTAAGTCAAAGCTGGAATCCTTTTGTCTTCACCAGTTTTGGACCTTGGGATTCTCTGTATGCGATAACTACATCAATGGCGAAAAAATCCGTTTCTTATTGAGAAGGCATGCTTAAAGGGTTAATATATTTGCATACAATAGGCTTAGGGGAGTTGGAGTCTAGACTGCTGACAAACACAGATGAACAGACTTTGATGCTTTTTTGGTTTGGTCTGTCGTGTCCGTTCCCCTCACCCCCCGCCAAGTTGCAAATGCAGAATTTCTCACAAAACTCAGCATAAGATCAGGGCCTCAGACCCAGAACCCCTCTGAGCAGTGATTAATTTCTCCATTAGACTCAAACTCACAGTACATTCACTTGGTAACTATGATACATTCACATAATAAGTCACATTGACACGAGTGAACTAAACACTACTGAAGTGGTGAGTTCAACAGCCAGGTTTCAGTCAGGGAAAGTGAAAATCATTGCTGCAAGAAGGCAAAAGCCCAAAGTTTGCTCTCTAGAAAAGCTACAACCTGACCTATTCTATTCTATACCGCTTCTATTGCCTTATAACTTGTACTCATGGCATTACCAAGTCTGGGACAAACTTAAATAAATCTACTTCTAAGGCAAAGTTTGCATCCTTACATCTGTCTTTCTATACTTTGTAAAAGTTTTTCAAAAGGACCCAGCAAAGAACTGAGGTCTAAGTCTTACAGCTTCTCACTTTTGTCTGGGTTCAAGGGAAGGGAAAAGCACTGCCCTGCAAAAGGACAAGAGCAAGAAACAAAGAGAAGTCAGAAGACCTGAAAGAAAGAGGAGCATGCTTACCCCCACAGCTCATAAAGCAAGAACAATGCCTAGGTATCGGAGTGATTGGCACTCAATATATAAGGTGATGGCTTAATTAGCCATAAATATGGTCAGCTAGCAAATGCTAAAAGGTCACCTGATACTAATTGTGAACAAGACAAACTGAACTGCTTAAAAAAACCTGTCATGAATAATTTCTCAGGGCTTAGCAATTCTGCATGCTTCTGTAATTTGCTCTTCTCTATTATGGTTGAATAACATTCTGCTAATTATTAATTGGATAATGATTTGTTTCTATCACTAATTCAATAATGTGTTCAGAAGTGCATTTTGCAAGTTCCCAGCTCTAGAGACCGTAAATATCGGGCTTATCTTCACTTAACTGCTCTGGTTGGGAGACAGGTCCCACATGATGGAAGTGTGGAGCCTGTGGAGCTTTCTGCCCACTTTTGGGCACTCTACATCCAAAGTAACCAAAATATCCACATCCTCTGGAGACCGAGGCAACACTGCTTCCCCACTCACCATGCAGGGAACAGAAGGCATCCAACACTGGGTAGCAATTAGGAGCTTATACATCCTAGATATTAAAGAGGGGTCTGGCTGGAGATGAATAGCTTGCCCTTAGGAGAACTCTTAGGAGGTATCCAGAAGGGGGCAATACCTCACCCCTCCTTTACATCCCACGTCCTCACCAAAGGGTCTTGAGAGCACTCTATAGGTAGCCTGTAGGAGGAAGGGCACGCAGCAGGGTGCTGCTGTACAACACCGAGCACCCCCCTCTGCCAGGGTCGTGTTGCAATCATTTCTGCTCAAATAAAAAGCTGAAGACAAGAAAGCCAACAATAATGCCCTTGAGCTACCACTCCCTACTACCTCCCTAAGAAAAGCCGGGCCGTTAAAAATGCCACATAAATATCACTGACAGAAAACAGGCTTCAAGGTTATTCAGAAAAGCCCCACGCATAGCAACCTCCTCTTTTTAATAGTGATAAAAACCCTGAGTTTTTCAAAAGAGCAAGTTGCTGCACAGGCAAACCTACCTTTCAAAACCCACCAGCTCCCTTTTTGCAGAAGAAAAGGTAATGTTGTGGGGGAAAGGTATAGCATTCCTCCTTCATGGGCCACAGAGGCATAATCAATTGGTACAACAGCACATTGTTGAAACACAAACCACGGAAAGCTGCTTTATGAACCCGTGCAGCCAGCTGGAACAGCCATCAACAGCTGCGAGAGGAATTCACTCCAGGACTGAATCACTTCATTAGGGTGGGTTTTTTTTTTCCTTTTATTACGTGTGGCTCAGGCTGCTGATCTTCGTCCTGAGGACCCTCCACAGAGCAGCCCCACTTCTTTCTCTGCTCCCTTATATTCTCAGGAACATTAATGGTTCCCATTGTATCACTTAATCTCCTCCTGAGACACCATTTCTCCCTCTCCCATCAGACAGCTCACCAGCAGTCTTCCAACCTACTACATCACATTGCGTGGTGTCCTAAGCTTTCTGACTGTAAGTCAGAAAGCATCAGTGGTTTGGGGGCAGCATGGGTACAGAATTTGCCCCTAAGAGAAGGGCTTTTGTCTGTAAATTGATTTAGCGGACTGAATGCGATGAACTGCAAATCATGGCAACTGGGAGGAAATACCCTGCTTGCGCTACTTCCAATTCTGCCCTATTTCTGTTTGATATAGGCTACTTGATTATACGTGAAATATAAGTGGACAAAACCACAGCGCCGAGCCCCAGCAAGTAGTGACACGGGCATATACATGTATCAAATTGAGCTCGAGACTGGTACAAAACTGCAAGGATGAGACCACCGGCTGCCAAAGTCATGTACTTGCATGAGCGACAGCAGGTGACATCACAGGGTTTTTGTAATTAAATATGATTGGCTCAAGAAAATTCCCAATTTCTTCATTGGAAACCATACAACCATACAAACAACCATAAAAACCTCCAAATTCAGTGAAAAAGAATAAAAATTCATAAACGAGTAAAAGCTGAAGCAGGAAATATCTTCAAACAAAACGCTGATAGAAATATAGCTTCTCCTTCTCCTAAACTTACGCTTTTATGGGATTTTAACACAAATGAAAGAAATCCACCTGTATTCTGACAGCATAGCCAACTTTAGCCCTCTTCTACTGCATTTCCAGTGTAGAAATGCCAGAAGACCCTTATCACAGAATCACAGAATCGCAAGCGTTGGAAGGGACCTCGGGAGATCATCTAGTCCAACTTTCCAAGGAAAGCCTCACTATTAAGAGCAGTAAGATGTTAGAAGAACGGTGTTCAATGCTCACGGGAACCTTGTGAAAGCTGTTCAATCCAGCAAGTAAACGGGTACACACCTATGACAGGCTCCAAAATGAACCGCGGAGTGGATAACTGTGCCCAGCACCAGGGCTATTTACACGTGATGTGCACTTTTTTTAAATCTTCTTACCCGAACTGCTACAGCGAGATGGTTCCACAAGTCTGCCGGTCTTATCGTAACAGGCAATAGCTCGCAGTCGTACACCCTGGCCACACTCCTTGGCATCTCCATGGGATCGTGCTCCCAAATGCGGCTCAGATGTACCTCCTCCGATAATGCAGTCGGACCAATTTCCGTGGGGCTGGGAGGTAAACACCTCGCAGGGGCACGGCTCTGTTTCAACTTGAGGATAAACTTCTGTATTCTGGCATTTGTCTCGCTTTCTGCTTCGCCCTGTTCCAACCACAGAAATCTGTTCGTTACCTTAACATCTGCTACTTTTGATAACAACACGTCATATTATTTATACTTGCATGAATTCAACACATTAGAACCAAGACAATATGAATGTTAATATCCAGGAACGTTTCCGAAGCATCTATTAGCTGCTGCCAGTGCTCTGGAGTGCAAGGACAATGTATTTATCTCCAGGGGCAACCGGAGAACTTGGAACTACTGTTTTGATGGGTAGGGCAAGAAGCAAAATGTAAAGTCTTACTCTAGGAAAGGTCTGTCCAGAAAATGCTTTGTAATTTTATATAATATCATTTTTCTCTAATTATCTGATGAAAATAAATTGATTGTTTTGTCTCTATTTGCTCGCAATCAATGGTTGCCAGGACAACTTGCAGAGGACTCTACATTAGCCACAACTTCTTCCTTGAGGCTCCTTTACAAATAGTTAAAGATGCACTCTGCACACAAACCGTGCTTTGAAGAAAACAGGAAAGATAATCCTCAGTAAATTATTAGGGCTGGAAAGCATTTCAGTGGTTATATTTGGTTTAATGTTTTCTTTTGCTCTACTCCTTCAACAGGTTTTAAAAGAGGGCTCTCTCAGTAGCTTCAGGAACCAGCAGCATTCAAATGAACCTGTGGCACAGCTCTCTGCAACTGCACTCTCCATGCCCCGGAGGACTCCTAGGCACGAGAAAAGGTCCCCAGTACAAGAAGAGATAACATAAAGAAGAGAATTCATGCTCCCTGCATCCCTTCAACTGCTCAAGGGAACAAAGGTCTGTATACAGCCTCTAAAGATAGAATCATAGAATCATAGAATGTTTTGGGTTGGAAGGGACCACTAGAGGTCATCGAGTCCAACCCCCCTGCAGTCAGCAGGGACACCGCCAACTAGATCAGGTTGCTCACCAAACCAATGATTTTCTTGGCATGGGTTAGCCAACGTGACGTGGAGCAATCTTCATGCTGGCTGAGCTCAGGAATGTCTTTGCATTTGGCATCTACACAGAAGGGGAGAATTCATCTTCACTAACAAACTGCATCTTTATCCCATCCTCAAAATGTGCCCTGGGGATCTTGGACGCACTAAAAATACTTCTGCAAAAAGTTTTTAAAGCTTTGATCCCTAAAGAAATGTTTTCTTTTTGATATTGCACACAAATAAGATATTAAACCAAAAAACAAACAAACAAAAAAGTTATATGACCCAACAACCCTCTTTCCAGTCTGGAACCAAGAGTCACGTCACCACACGCTGGCAGGAGCATGAGCTGGCTGTCATCCAATACCTGTTTGCATATAAACACGTAGCTCCAAAGAGAAGGGCACTGGCTGCAGACCCTTAATATCACTGTCCTTCAAGCCCCAGCTCTTTCAAAACTGTATTTCCAGAGTTCTGGGGAATGTAAGATTTGCCAGCACAAAGGGACAATAAACACAAAGACATCAAATACTGCTGGCATCTTTATATTTTTGTGTGTATATACATTTTTTAAAATATTTTTAAATATAAATATATATTTATGAACAAATTTAGGTAAGGTATAAGAGGTACAACTCCACATACTTCAAGGAAAGTCTTTTAAAAGGCTTTAAATAGATCAGTAGCTCTCTAGTGGCATTTCCAGCATTTTATGTTTCACAAGCTGAGAGACGCCACAAGTTCAGTATATACGTACAGCTGTATGTTCTGCAGTGTATTAGTAAACAGGGGAATTTGGGACTTGCCCACGTTCTGCCATTATTACATGAAGCACATTAGACACAGGTAAGGATGCTAATAATCTCACACTTATACAACACCTTTTTTCTAACTTGCCCTGCCATCTGTTTTGTAGGAGTCTTCCCTCTAATGAAATTGCTATGAAAGCCTTATTTTGAGGGCAAAAGTGACATTCATCCCACAAAGAAGCAGTTTTAGAATTAGTGATGGTGATATCTTTATCATCTCCACAGACTGCTTTAGAAATTACTATTAAAAATACCACTGCAAAAATTTTCAAGGACATAAATCCTTCAGTTAAACAGTATTTTCTTTTTTAACTTAAATTTCTGAACACTAACAAATATTGTATACGTTAAATATGATCAGGTAGTATATGCTATACATAGATGTTATATGAAAGACTCAAAATAAACCTTTCTACAGAAAAAGCATTGGATCCATAGTACAGTGAATTAACTGACTGTATTAATTAACTGACGACTTACCTAAAAACTCTGTTTTGATTATAAAGACTTTGAATTTTGATATGTTCTGCAATAAGTCTTTCTTCTTAAGTAATGATTAATTTTATATGTAGAGTCTATGATTACTTACAAAGTAAAATGAATAATACCATTAAGAACTGAGTGGGAGGCAAGCAAATACTTAGCAAACAATTAGCAGATTCCCACTAAATGACATTGTTAATGAACTCTTATAATGACGCCGAAGCGCTCACTTGAGCATAGACATACACTGTGCTGAACAAGGAGGTACAATTCATGCACGCTTACAGAAAGGTGAAATAAAAACAGATAAAGGAGTCTTAACAGCATGAAGTACTTCCCAAGCAGCACTTCCCTCACATCTTTGGGATGCGTTCACACGGATGAGATTCCTTCAAGGCTTTTGGCCAGCTTCAATTTTCATGTAGTTTTATGCAAAGACAGGTCAGCAATAACCTCGTCAACTTCTCTTGAAACCAAACCCCATGTCCTATGTGGCCCTCCCCTCGCTGCTCTCAGTGGTGCTGTGCTGTGGCCCCCCCCCAGCACCACCTGGGCACCCGCTGCACATTCACCGCTTGCTTTTCAGGGACGGGGCTGAGACCAGGAGCTCCTCCCAGCAGGAGGAAGGGAACCCAGCAAGGTCTTATGGGAGATGCAGACGGTGTTTGGTCAGAAACGCAGTGCGGGTGAAGAGACAAGCCATCAAAAACTGGACATCAGAAACCATTTTTGGTTCACTTACTTGCATGGATCTATGTCTGATGTAGAAGGGAGTAAGAAAGGGGATAGGTAGGACCATACTGTTCTGTAACAGTCACAGATGTTCATAAAGAAAATCCAGATTTAAAACTACCTGGAAGTTAGTATTCACTTAATTCTTATATATTTTCTATGAGATCAGGAACCTATTATTCTGGTAGGGACGGAGGATTTCTACTACTATAAACATACAGGCATTGATACAGAGAACATTTTGAAATATGCTCTTTGGCAGAAACAACAGAGCATTGTATAATAATTATTTTTATGTAAAAGAGAAATCTTTATCCTTTAATGAGCCATACTGACGAATGGCAGCTTGAAGCCGTTATGTCTGTATCCTGTAATTGTTAGTTACTAAAAACTTGGATCATTCCAACAGTAATGAACTGAATAACAAGATAAGCCACGCAGCCAGGTAGAAGCCAGTCTAGAAGAAAGGAGCAGTGGCAGGCACCGTACTTTGCTGCCATTCAGTTCCCTGGCATTATCACAGTAGATATTTTTACAGCAATGTTAGTATTTTACTCCATGGTAGAATTCTTTGAAGTTTCACCTCTATTAATGGAGCAAACTCAAGCCAGCTACACCATAGCTCTCAAACCCAACACAGAAATATGAAAAGATGTAAGTGTTCGGGGTAACAATAACAGTAAGTTCTTTGTAAACCTTCTGAAAACAGTATAATTAATTTTGATTTGATTTAGCTACTTGTGTGGAGAGGAAGACAACTCCTAACAAAAAAGCAGCTCCAAACTTAGTGGGTTTTAAAGCTTTTCAGTTTGGTCAGCATTCAAATAACATAATAACAAACTACAACAGCAAGTATGGGAGACTGTTCCATGAAATGGTTTGAACTAGAGTGTTTAATGAATATATATAAAAGATCAAACAAAACTGTTTTAACGATATTGTTTTTTCTTTATTCATGGTACTAATTTGCCCTGTTGAACTGTTGGATTCTGCTGAGCACAGAATTCCCAGCTTTAAACTTCATGCAGATTTCAGTCTTAAACAGAAAATCACACTGATTTTTATTCTTGTATACACATTTGCTGCATTTTTCCCAGATTAATAGGCCAGATAAACTTGCACAATGTATAGTCACAGTTTTATTTAGCTTATGTCTAAAAATGGCTTTCCACCGCTGAGTTTTTCTGCACTATTCTTATACTGAAATACGTGTGCATAAATCGGGCAATGATCAGTATCAGATCAAAAATCAATTAAGGACAATCGCTATTCAGTTGGGATTTTCCCCAAACCCCAACATCAGCCCACCAACATCTGAGGAGTATTATTCACAAGTATCACCATCAGACAAATATCATAAAAGATTATACCTGTAAGTGATCGTCTCCTACTTCTAGTTGATTCACAGTCAAATGAGCATGCTGTAAATTTAGACCAGGGGGTAAACGTGCAGTCATCCTTGCAGGGGACGAGGCACTCCTGTACAAGAGGCGGCATAGCTCCTGCCCACCGCATGCAGTCACCAACATCGGCAGCGTCGTCCTGCTCCGACAGGCACGTAACGGCTGAAAAGTAAAGGCACAGAAATCTTTATATTCTTACATATATTGCATTATACTCTATGCAGTCAGTACTTGTGTTCTATGCAAGATTCACTCCCCTGGGTTAATAGGATAAAGCTGATTTATTTTTAGGTTATTATTCATGTATCACTCAAAGGTGTGCTAGAAGCTTCACGAAACCACGAAGAGACGTCCTTACTTGTGCAGTGTGTTATCTAAATGATGACATAAATTCAATCTTCTCAAGGAGGCAGTCATTTTTAAGGGTTGGGGTAACAATTTAACCAATGATACATTGTACCACCGAACAAGAAAAGATATAATACTGTGGCTATGCGCCATAAAGCATATTTGGCCGAGGCCAGGATTCCCAAGCTGCGATGCACACACTACTCATGGAACTGAAACTGCTTCCAAGCGGAAAACAAAAAATATTAAAAAATATAAAGAAAGTGTCCTTCTCCAAAACTGCCATCTTTTCCATATTCCAGATGAAGGGAACAACTCTCTGAGCAGCTTTCCCATACAGAGCGGTGACTTCTGCTCTGTCTGAGCAGCAGATGCTACTGCTAAATCCTTTTTGCAGCAAGGTGTCTGCTCCCTCCAAATGGAGTTCCCTAAACACTGTGCTACCCCTTGCGCTCTCCCGCTCTCGGGCCATCAGAGCCTTGGAATCTCTTGCAGAAAGGGAGATGTTTAGGAGGAAGGACGTGGTTTAGTGGTGGGATGGCAGGGTTAGGTTAAAGGTTGGACTCGATGATCTTAAAGGTCTTAAAGGTCTTTACCAACCAAAGTGATTCTATGATTCTATGAAGGGCACAAGCGTTCAGCCTGTGGCCATGACAGAATGGGGCTGCAGCTGCTGCACTTTACTTGAAGCCTGCTTTTACGTGCACGATAGCTTGCTGTAAGAGCATGGCCAAATGGAGCCATTAACAGGAAAAAAAATACAAACCCCAACTGCCCTGTAGGTCTCAGCTGAGGACAGCATCACTCTGCCGAGCTCCATCCGACCTGACGTGCCTTTGCACATGGGCAGGGCCAGAGCCCCCATGCACAAACCGAGCTTTACCTTCACACGCAGCATTATCAAGGCTGCAGCTCACGTTGAAATGCAATGCATTTCTCTGGTCCACTGCCCAAAGCTTTACCAGCTCCCTAAGACCAGGCCACGGCAATAGGAAACAACAGGCACGGGGCTGGGCTGGGGCAGAGGTCTCTGAATTTGGACATAGATGCCTTTGGGGCCAGACAAGAGTCAAACAGGGTTTGCAAGGGCACAGACCAGGATTTAAGATGCACTGATTTTCACCCCAGTTTTATTTTAGTTCAATGCTCTTTTCCTTCAACACCCCTGTCCTTTTTTGGACTGTATTGATCAATTTTTCAGGGTGGGTAAAGGCACTGTACACCCATGATGGAGGACAAAAGTAATAATGTAGAAATCTGAGTCACAGGAAGCCTATAATAAAACTTGCTAAAGTTTCAGTGAATTAATAATAAGTAATTGTAATAAATAAAATAGCCTGCACATCATGGAGTCTTTCATTTCATTAATTATAATTAATTCTCACAAAATCGCCAAGATTATAGGCTATTTATATCCTACATTGTGGGTTAACCAAAGCAAAGCTAGGTCGTGACTTGATTAAAGTAATAAAGTCAGGGACAGAGTTAGGAATTGAATTTGGCCCCAAGAGTTTAGTCATGTCAGGCTCTCTGATTTCAGGCAAGTCCACACATTGTATCATAAAGCTACAGAAGATGAAATGATTTAATCCAGATTTTATTATTTAACTTTAACAACCTGTGATATTATTTTATGGAGACTCCTAAATAATTCAGCTTTTTGAGGCTGCATATATTTTTCCTTGTTGCAAGCACTTAACGTAACTATGAGTGCATAAAGAAAAAGGGAAAAATAACGCTCTGTTTTCTTACAGTTAAAGGATTTACTAGAGTGTAACTTTGCAATGAATTCACATGATTTTTGGTTTTTAACTACAGCACTGTATGGGAGCAAGGGATGGGTTGGCAAGCACCTGGAAATAAAAAAATACCTTATTAAAATGTAATTAGATTTCTAAGGAAAAAAATCAGCATTTTGAAGAGCGTGCAAAAGGCAAGCAATTGTTAGAAGTCTCTTTAGACTCAAGTGACAGTAAATCAGCATATTAATAACTACCTCTAAATTGATGATCCTCGCCTTTCACTTTCAATCCTTGTGACCCTTCCTATCTCTCAACTCCGGCAGTCAGAAACTCAGAGACGTTCCCCTTCTCAATTACGAGAGCGTGGGGACAGAGGTCACCACTCTCTACAGGAAAGCGGGGTAATTGCCCTCTTCAGGAAGGTTAAACAAGTAATAGACTCTGATGCCCAAGGTCTGTGTAGCCTCATTACCTTCAGCAAGGACACCAAAGATTTGGCAACACAAACGTGTCCACGTAAAGTATGGCCAAGTGTATGCAAACCATCTTCTCAGCAGCGCTACAACCGCTAGCGTCTGCAGGGAAGCGAACGATACCCTACACTGCCAGCCCCATGAGGCAATATTTGCAATTGCATAATAAACCATCATGTTGCAACGCTTACTACGATCTGACAGAAGACCACAATTCATTCCTGACATTTATTAATGGCAACACAAGTGATGGAACTTTTAAATATCGATGTTAAACCAGACACTCCACGCTGCAATGAGTTATTATCTAATGGCCTGATCTTCTGCACGAATGTCCTTAATTTTGAGCACACAAATAACTCACTGAGTTTGCTGAGCCTATTTAGACACTAAAAGTGATGGATATATAAGGACACATGAGAGCAGGGCAAATATTTGAGAGATCGTGGAGCTTAAAGAAATTAGTGGCAATAGTAAACATGGGTAGAGGAAAGTTAAATGAAAACAACAAATAATATAGTGGATCATACATGTAAAAGCATGGAGACAAGGAGTCGAAAAGATGAAAATATAATGGGCAGTCTACTAAGAGACATAAAACCTAAAGGAGTAGAGGAGGAGGATTTCCTCTGAGGTGATAAGGGACAGGCAGGTGGTTGAAAATACGGAGTTGCTTCTCTTCTCTACTTTAGGAATTTTTATAAGTGCAGATCCTGGTAACTCAATCCAGTCATTCCTGACAGAGCAACAAAGCCTCCGTGTCAGCAAGGAGAGAAGGCAGTGGCCAAAGAGCAAGGAATCCAAAAAGCTATTTTTGATGCCTAAAATACTACCTAAAAAGCAAACATTCCACTTGCTTCCCACTCTCCTGGACTTTTGCACTTATCAATACCAACAGTGTTATTACTAAGCTGGTGGGCCCAACTGAGCACCCCCTTGGTGACCCAATTGGCAGCTACACCCCTTTGCTGGGAGAGCAGGCACTTCTTGTTTTACATGCACAAAATAAAATGCCAGCCATGAACATCTGGTACCCTTACACACCAAAACCCCACACCTCCTCAGGCTGCCTAGGCAATACGGTGCATGTCAGCCACATTAGGAGGCAATTCATTCCCAGTCAAGAGTCTGCAAATATCTTCAAAGACGATGCCAATGTGTGACTTCTTCAGTTTGACCTGAATTATCTTCAAAAGCCTGAGCTTAATGGGCCCAATCTTTATGTCAGTTATAAGAAATGGCAGGATTTCTGCTACATGCTTACAACTATGCTTGAGGTGAGCAGCATGAACTGCTAAAATAAATTAAATAATAAAACAAAAGCCCATTAGGGCATTTTAATGGCTTGAGAAGGGCTAGCCGGGAAGCAGCAGAGCTGACGGATCCACTCCAGCGGCTGGCTCAGGAACCAGTCACCTCGTTTCTGCCTGCTGCAAACTTATTTCCCAATTAACTTAGCTTTAAGAGAAAAATATTTTCAAATACAGGCACTTCTGGAAACAGAATGAGACAAATTTGTTTCAGTGGACCTTCAAGGAAAGTTAGTAAAATTATTTATCCTTGGTAGTTTCAAACTACTGATTGGTTTGGCTCATGTGTGGTTTACGTTGCATAAAAAATATTTCCCCATAATCCTCAGTTCTGTCACAATGGTTTTAAATAAACTCATACCGCAAAGCCATTTTGGCTATGTCAACATCTCATTATTTTTTTTTTTTAAGTGGGATACCACTGGAGGGCAAATGCAATCCATTTGCAGCCCTACGCACTGGGGAGGGGGGAGAAAAAAAAAAGAGGGGGAAAAAAAAAATATCACACAGTAACAATAAATCCCTCCTAGACATAATGTGTGATTTCTACTAACTCTACAGCATTTAAAATGAACACAAACATATGAATAGAAATAGCTAATAACCAGACACTGCCAGATAAAGGGTTTCAAATTATAATATTGATTCCCACAAAGAGGGGAAATGCAGGATTTCCTTTTGAACTCCCGCTGTTCTTTCTTATTACCACCAGTAAACGCCACCAAACTGGAATTAAACCCTTGGGGCCAAACTCCAGGATGACGATTTAATGCAGTTCTGTTGATATAAAACAATGTCTGGTGCAAAAAAAAAAAGTAGTACACCTTCTCTCGTAATGATAAAAACAAGATCATGAATTAAACTGGAAGGTAACCAGGTTCAAAACCTAAAAGCAAATATCTTTTTTCAGGGCAGGGCTGGAGGTGTTTGACAGACAGTGTGGCTACACCCACTAGGGTGTCAACAAAAGTTAGTGATTAACATGAGCAATGAAAAAAGCTGCAGGTGCAACTGCTTTGCTTCAAGGCATAAATCAAGTGTTAAATCTATGGTTTGGGGAGCAAATTTCCCCTTCTGCTGGTACGGGGTCCTGTTTGGATACTGAACAAGGACTGCTAACGGGATATTCCATACGACAGTGTCTGTCTTCTTGTTTTATATTTACACCCCCAAGAGCATGTTTGTATGCCATCATCTCAGCATATGGCACACAGAAGCATATGGAAGCTATATTCTCTAACTACATTCACTTTACATTACAAGTTAATAGCAGGCGCTTCTATAAACTT